ACCTGAGGAGCGATGTCTTTATTTGCGTTATCGATTACCAAAAAGCTTTTGACAGTATCAGACATGATGTGTGGTAATACAGACGTTAAGGAAGATTGGTTTTTATGGAAAAGATGTGAGGACGAGCCAACAGCTGTACCGGAATCAAAAGAAGTCAAAAGTTTGGCAAGTAGTCTAGCTAGGCCAGTGATAGAAAAGAATGGATTTTCAAAAGATGCATGTTCCCTGTCATGAATAATATATGCATTTGTAGTGTAGTTTGGGTCAGCAGCCTCAAAAATTAGTTGAACATTATCAAAATCGTCGTAGAGCGTCTTAACTTTCTCAAGGCGTAACTGAAAATCCCCAAAGTTAATTTCAGTTGCAGGTAACTCTTTAACAGAGTTATAGGAGGGTTAATTTCAGTCGGATATCTTTCCGTTATAACATAACGGGACTTCTTATCTTACCTTCGCGACAAGCTGTCGCCGGGATGCAAAAGACGACAAAGGCGTTGTTTTAGGTTTTAGGTTGTAACAAAAATATTTATTTATAAAATATTTATAAAATATATATCTTAACATTAACATTAAAAAAATAAAATTAATGATATTCAGCCGAAATTCCAATATGCGAGCACAGTTTAAACTAAACAACAAACTTATAGACAAAGTTGAGAAGTTTAAATATCTTTAAGTTACCTTAAATGGTGAATTGAGCTGTGATAAAGAAGTAAAATACGAGTAACATTTGCTAGGAATACTTTTACTAAATTCGCTTACTACCTTTGTCAGCGCGAAACTCCTTTGGCTCTCAGTATTCGCATTTTAAAATACTACGTACCTATGGCCAATAATAATGTACTGTTGAAATGTTATGTGCCGACCTTATTGCAAATAAAGATCTCTTACGAAAGATTAATAATTCCATATAATATATAAAGAGGTGACAAATATAATCTCATAAAAATCATCTTAATGGACAAAATTGATGGTAAGCGTGAAAGTCCAAAAGACACTCACGGTTTAGAGACATAAAAAACAGCTGTTGTGACATACCTAATATACCTGAAATACCATAATAAGAAGTGCAGAAGAATAACTTTTACGCATAATCTAACCAGCATGAACAATGATGATAAATAGATATAATATCGGTGACAGCCAAAGATTTTACTCCTTTCAAAAGCATCGGAAAATCATAATTAGTTTTGACACTAATAATAATAATGTTTTTGATATCACTATTTTGCACTTAGTTCTATAGAATTATCTAAATATCAGGTAATACTTGTTTAAAGATACATAGAAGTCTTTAAGTCTTCACTCCTTCATGATGTAAACCTAGACATAAGATTAATAATATTACAAAAATTATTATTAAACTCAACAGTCTTTCGGATTTATCTGCGTCGATTATTATTGCGCCAAGCTTTCGACACTCTCTTTGATGTCTTCTTCAAGGCTTCCGAGGTCTCAGTCAATATCATGCGCTGAACCAGCCAATCAAAATCCTGCTGTCAGAAATATTTGCGTGCAATATAATATATCCAACTTCTTATGGGACATTTACTCATGATAAACTCTTTTTTCAATAAAAAGCCTTAGTGTAAATGGACATGGATCAGCCCAGATTGTTTTTTTAATTATTTGAAGAACAAGTAAGGACTTTTGTTATGAACATTAATTCTGTGCGATTGGTATTATTTTTGTTCATGAATTTGTGTGGTAAGTATATCAAAGTATTTAATATGAATGTTTATATTTTAATGTTCAGTTATGGTTTCGTTTAAACTTTAATTATTTTTTACTATAGTTCAACATACATTGTTATTGTTTTTATTAGAAGTATTTAAAAAAATTAATAAATAATTGGATTTATTTAGGTTAATAAATTTTCAAATTAATGTTATATTCTCTTTTTGTTGCCAATGATTGTAGTTTAAGTTGTTATATAAAATTCTGCGGAAAGCTTTCTATAAAATTGCCACATTAAGTATTTTTAAACATATGTTTTTTGAATGTTGTAATAGTTTTTGAGTTTATTTTTTAGATTTGAGCATATAATCTCTAGTAAACATGTGTTGAAAATATCCAGTATTACTAAAGTTTTTAATAATGACAATACAACTACTATTAACTATTTAAACTACAAGAAAACAAATACATTTAGTCTTTTAGAGGATAAAATCACTAGAACTTCAAAAAGATTAAAACATTAATTTAAATATTTTTTAACTTCGTAAATAAATTCAATTATTTATTGAATAATTTTAAAATAACCCCAATAAAAACAACAATATATTTTGAAATACAGTAAAAATTAATTATAGTAATTTGAAATACAGTAAAAAGAAGTTTACATCAAACCATAAGAACACATTAATCCTTTAATATTCTTACCTTACAAATTCACGAACAACAAATAATACCAATTGCACAGAGTAAATGTTTATGACCAAAAGACCTTATGTATTCTTTAAGCAATTAAAAAAAAAACAATATTTCCAACTTCTTATGGGAGAAATACGCACAAATTAGAAATGTTTTTAAAGGTTTTTAAAACTCCCGCCCATTGTGACGTCAGAGCTTAGGTAGTCCCTTATGGCATCGGAGCAGAAATTAGTCAAACATTTCTCGTTTGAATCGAAATCAATAGAATATAATGGTTATTCCAGTATCTCTACTTCGTCAGCCGTTCGAGATGATTCCGATTCAAACCAAAATGTGTGGTCCAATGCTGTAATATTTTATATAATATAATTTTAATATATATTTTAATAATCCTTTATTTCATTGGAGCAATAGAAAGCTTTCGCTAAAAGCGACTAATATTTGCAAATTTTCGAAAGGCCAGAGGACAGAAAACAATTTATTTACTTGTTTAGTTCTTCACCACCAAATCAGGTGGCACCTTTTTGTCGATCCACTAAAAGTGGCAAGATTTTGGAGTCTAGGGCTAACTGATAGAAAGATGGTATGAAAAATCAGTTAGTACCCGTCAATGTCAAGTGGAATGATGTAGTAGGAGCAAAAGTCATTGTGCTTTAGTTTGTGAATAGGCCGTTTTTAGTGAATAATTGTGTTTTGTATGTAGTAGGATCAATAGCAATTTTTGGTATTTTAAAACGTTGGGAGAATGTAAAGCAATGAGTGACTGTGATGTAAAATAAATTTGGTATACCAGGGTAAGGCAAAATTTAATTTAGGTTGTTGAAATTAATAAATTATTTTAAAGGCGATAAAAAGAATGTTGTTACCTAATTGTTTCCTTGTATGAAGTAAGTATAGATAAAAGTTGGTTTGAAATTTATGGAAGATAAATCGAGGAAAAAGAAATAAAAGAGAAAGAAAGAAAAGGAATAGGAGATAAATGTAAAGATGTAAGCTGGGGATACTGAAACTGATTGTGATAAGAGATTGATAGATGTAAGTGAGTATTTATAAGAAAACCTGTGTGATTAGTTAGATGGTAGTTATTGGAGCGGATGGGAAATTGGATATTGGAAAAGGGGGATGTTAGTGTATTAATGGTGACAAGAATAGAGTTCAGTATGGCGGATTATATAGGGTGATATTAAGCTATGGGAAAATAGAAAGAAATGTAGAAGTAAGTGAAACTGGATGTGTAGTTAAAAGAAAGAAAGTTAGATCAGGAGAATAATTCTTGATGAAGTGGGACGAAGTCTCTGTTGATGCTGGTGTGACGATTAACACAATTGGGACTATTTTTCTTTTGCTTGACGATTTCTAAATCCTCAAAAAGGTCAAGTTTGAGATAAGCTCTACCTGGGATGTTATGAAGAAGAGAAATATCATCTGGTACCTTGATTGTATGATTGTGATATTTAAGATGATGGGAAAAAGAAGAAGTGTTCTCTAACTTAGAATGTTTAATGGCCCCGTTTTCTAGAGATCTACAAGTTCTACCAATATAAGTCGCATCACAGTCAGAACATTGAAGTTTATAAACTCCACTGCGTTTGCTAAAGTCAATAGAGTCCTTACTATTACATAATGATCTACTCAATTTATTGTTAACTTTAAAGGAAATTTTAGTATTTTTAGCAGAATTCAGGATAGTGTTTTTGATTGATTCGGAGAGTGTTGGACAGTGAAATGGTAATGAGAAGTAAGATGGGGAATCTGAAGTAATGTTAGGCTTTGTATTCAACAGGTATACTAGCCACTCCTGGATATCTTCACTTCGTGGTTTGTTCCAGTTTTACTTTAAATGTTATCATTAACTTTACAAAGCGATCCTCTCAACGAAAACTGTCGTAACTTTTTTTTTCAATTTTGAGTTATTACCAAAAACAGATTTCATGGTACCGAAATTTCTTCTAGAGAATACTATAATAACTCAAATCGTAATATAGATAATACAATATTCATTATTGTAAATGTAATATCTCAATGCTGTCTGTACTTTACCGCGAAGAAAGTAGTATTATGGAGTTATTATAGTATTTGCTGTAAATTTGTGAGAAGGGACCGAGATACAGCTATACGTTTCAATAGAATAAAATTATAGGTTATGTTAAATGTCATTTTACTTCATTAGATGAAGTACTAAAGAGAACCTTGTTTATTGTTATAATAATTTATTATAATGTCGCAGAAAATTTAACGAATTTTGGGACTACTTATAAATAATAATATACAAATAGCATCAGTTAAATTCCTGTTATTATATGTATTTGAATATCTGTTTAAAATCTAAATGTTCTGCTTAGCATGGACAGTAAAAAAGTTAATTTCAAAAGAATAATCTAGGTATTTAATCATTTAAACATTTCTTGTTTTATCAATTAAATTTTTGTATTTTTTTTTGTTTTAAACAACGAAAATGAAAGTAACGACGATAATCATACCGTTGGCATTGATACCAAAATATTTTCTTTAGATTATTCCGACGATAATCCAAACTGTGTTCCCTCAGGATCAAGGAACAATCTAGGTACTTAATTCTTTAAAGATTCTTTTTTATTTAATTTAAATTTTTATTTTTTTTTATTTTAGACAACGAAAATGTAAGTAACGACGACAATCATACTGTTTACATTGAGACCAATATATTTCCTTCTGATTATTCCGATGATAATCCGAACTATGGTTCCTAAGGATCAGAAGCCGAAAACCAAAATTTGAAGCTATCTGATAACCAGAGAAGTAATGTTTTATTAGACAGACTATCCTCAAAAAGAAAGCGGGAAGTGACAGAAAAGGTAAAGATAGGAAGAAAATGAGTTAGAAATGAGAACGAATGGAATTACATAAAAGTAGAAAGAGAACTTAATAGCAGTCTGGAACATAAGAACTGCAAATATAGGTTTAACCTGTAAAGAGGATGAGTATATTAAATTTTGAAACAAGACAAGTAATTTTTGACGAATTTTGGAAACTTGGAGATCATACCAGGCAATAGGATGTTCTTGTAAGGTGCGTGACACAACAGGGTAAAACTCAAATCACTGTTAACACTTTTTGCGCAAATGTTTATTTATTATTGGTAATGTCGGTAAACAAATTTGCAAGAAAATGTTCTTGAATACGCTTGCGATTTCTGAAACTTTTTTTTCAGATAGATAGAACAGAGGGAACAGATAAGAGAGGAAAACATAATAATAGACCTCACAAGATCCCGGATTGTGTAATAGATAACAGTGTAGAACTCATAAAATTATTTACATTTGTACCTTCTCATTATACAAGGAAGAACTCAAAACGAATGTACTTAGAAGAGGTCTTAAACATATCTGTAATTCAAACTTTGACGGTATACAAGGCAACTATCGAACACAGTAGTTAATTTAATCTTGTCCAAGTACTTTCGATCAATAGATCATCTTCAGGGGCATCTGAAATAAGCCAAGAAACGTTTTTTATAAAAAAGGAAAATTAATTCACTTGGATAAAAAACTCCAAGTTTATGGTTGAAAAAAGTTTTTATGTGATAAACGTTTATAGACTTACTTCGTCAGTTGTGGCCTATCCGACATGAATAGAATGTCATACATGTAAATTTGGACATAACAATACAATACACAAAGACAAACAAACACTTTTTTAAAAAGGAGAAGCTACATGTTATATAGAAGCCGGAGACAGAATGGGCTCCCGGTCTAGAGGAAATATTGAGATGACATGTGACAAATGAGAGCTTGTAAAGGGCAGTTATGTGATCTGCACCTTTCAAAATTCTATGAAACTAAGTATTGACCAAAGGTCCAACTGACACCACTATTCGCTCCGAGCGTGACCATGGTAGGGGTACATTGAAACGATGCCAGCGTGCGTAGCGGCGAAATATGACAAAATTGGAATATTGGACAAAATATTTTTACGCATAAGTTTTCAAAAATGTGTGCAAATACATGTTGCGTATTTAATTCTGCTAATAATAGCAAAAACAGTGAGTGTAGTTTTTATAGGTTCCCAAAGAATACATATAAATTAGAGAAAAGAAAAAGATGAATTCGTGCTATTAATATGAAAAAGTAAATATCACATAATTTCATTTTTATGCAATTGAAATAGGAACAATTTAAATAATTTACCTTGAATGATATTTCATAAGGCTTCAAGCTAACTGCAGATGACTTTAGCTTTTATATCATAACTTTTACTATTATTGTTTTTAATTATATGCGTGAAAAACTTGATTTGCCAGTACTAGATTTTTCGCTTTCTTTTCAGTTTGGAGTTAAAAAGATATATTATGATGAATTTTGAGAAACTCAGTTTTTAATAGGTACTACATTTATTTTGTACATAAACTGAAAAAATATAGTTAAAAAACTAATTTATTAATAATTGTCAATTTCGCATGTATTTAACAATGTCAAACATATGTCATATATTTAACCTGAAAATTGGGACTCCAAAATTGTCAGATGAAGGCGGTAGGTGTCGCATCAGTCACGCACGGAGCGAATAGGAAATCAACTGATGAAATATAAAATTATATAGTATATTTTTTATGTAGATTGAATAATCCAAATCTCACACTCAAACCTGTCTATAATAATTAGGATGTTAGTTTGAGAGCAACTGAAGTTGATATAGAGTATAAATGTAAGAAAGACTAAACAATATATTAGACAGTGGATGGTTGACTACAATAAAATGGTCCACCAAGCGCTATCAGTACTGTAAAAAATGCGTAAAAAACGTAGACTGAATAGTCTATTCAGTCTACGTCCTCACATCAATCAATGGTCGGGTTCTAAAACCCGTACCATGACAAAAATTTTTTTAATTTTTTAACGTGTTTGTGAAGTCCAGTGTCGGTTTTTTATATGTTTTATATGTTTTAAGAATTTCAACACCTACAAAATCATAATTTTGAAATTTAAGGAAATGAGATCTCTCCTTTGTAGTGGTATTTAAAAAATTGACCATAGCTCTGATGATGGCTTTGTAAAGCCGAAAGCGCTCAGCTAGGAATTGCCTAAAATATACACACTTCAAAAATACTTTTTTGCATTTTTTTGCATTTTCTTTCGACTTGTCATAATTGTGTACAAAAAAATATCAGTCTTTTGATTGATTAATATTGAAATGCTCAGTGGATGAAGTCTAAACAGTCGAGCTGGGTCCTCTACGAGGTGAAGCTGTAATAAAGTTTTTAAATAATATAGGATTAAATTTAGTAAAATTTAAATTGTACTGTAAGTGTAATGCACCAAATGTACGTGGAATATACCAAACTCAAAAATTAAATGCCGTCGCTACAGTTAGACAATACAGAGATATTCTAAACTCACAATTTAACATTGCATTTTTCATGCCTAAGAAAGATCAGTGTTCAGTATGCAGTGCTTATGACCATACAGATCCGGGTAAAAGAACTTAATTAATGGAAGAAAATTACTTTGGCCATGTTTTAAACAGTCTGGTAAAAATATTGTTAAAAACAAGATGGCATTCGAAAAGTTGTGTCATACTCCGACAATTGCAGAGGGCAAAACCACAATAGTTTTATTTTTTTGATGTTTTCTCATGCATCGGTGACTTTGGATCTGGAAATAACACACCGTTTCGTTGAGATGGGTCATAATCAGAACGAAAATGACAGCATGCACGCTGTGATAAAAGTTGCAAAGAAACCACATTCCAATATTTATACTCCTGACCAGTGGATTAATCTCATAAAGATGGCAAAATTTACTCCCCACAGTAACAGAACTGGAAGAAAACTAACACTGCTGAGGTGATAAAGATAAGAAAAATTACGAAAATTTATTTCGAACCAAAGAATTCTTGTAAAGGTTATTGTACCTACAGTTTTTCAGAAAATTACAAAGAACTCGACATCGCAACATGAAAATTACGTAAACCGCATTACCATAAACTACCACGTTTATACTACCTATAGGTCTTTTACCAATTGTCAGTTAAATACCTGCAATATACCATGGGTTTTATAACTCCCAGTGTCCTGCTAGTGAATACATTTTAGCAGGGTACTCTAAAAATCAAGAAACTGGTTCCGAATGTGAACAAAAGCGTTTTATTGTACTGAGCAATTAATCGTTAATAATTATTAGAATTAGTGTCGTAATGTCATTATAAACAAATTGCTAAAAATAAAATATTGGTTAATTTTATTTGTTTTATTATTGTAGTATCTTCTTCTTGGACGCCCTCTTTTCCTGCTTTCGGTTGGGATCCATTTTAATATTTTCTTTGGCCACCTCTCGTCTGCCATTCTGTTTACATGACCGAACCAAGTTAGTTGTTTTTTCTGGACTTCATCTATAATGTCTTTTTCTTGCTCCATTCTATGTTTTATTTCTTCATTGCGGATTCTGTCCATCCTTGTCAATCTACAGCTTCTTCTCATAAAATCCATCTCGGTAGCTTGTAATTTTTTCCTGTTTCTTTTACTAGTGTCCCATATCTCTGCTCCGTATGTTACCACCGGCTCAACCATCGTCTTATATATTCGTTTTTCGTCGTTCTTGTGATTTTTTTTATCCCAGAGAATGGAGTTTAGGCATTTGGTAATGTTTCTGCCTTTGTTTATTCTTGTATTTATTTCTTCATGGCTATTTCCGTCTTTTGTAAACACTACTCCTAGGTATTTTACTCTATTTGTTCCTTTGATTTTGTCACTCTCCAATGTCAGGTCTTCGACTGTATTTTTCCCCACTGAGAGATATTCGCATTTTTGTAAGTTCATTGTCAGTCCACATTCTTCGTACGCTGTTTGTAGTTTCCTAACCATATAGCTGAGGTCGTCTATATCTTCTGCTACCACCAGTTGGTCGTCAGCGAAGAATAGTGTATAGAGAATATCCTCATCTATTTGTATTCCCATATTTCTGCATTGTCTTTGCCACTTTTGTAGAGATCGATCCAGATATATTTTAAACAGCGTAGGTGATAAACAGCATCCCTGTCGTAGCCCTTTCGTAGTGTTGAATTTTTCACTAAGTTTGTCACCTATTTTAATTGATGCGGTGTTGTTTACCTACCACTTTTAAGTTGCTATTATTAACGAAGGTTTTATTTCCATGTTTTGCATTTTACTCCATAAATTATTTATCGGCACGTTATTATATGTCTTTTCAAGATCTATCAGGGCTATATGTGTTTCTTTGTTTCTTTGTTGTCGCTTTTCGATTAATATTTTAAGTGTAAATAGATTATCTATAGTCGATCTTCCAGCTCTGAATCCGCATTGTTCTTCTGGTTGTTTCATACGAATGTCTTCTTCTATGAGGTTTCTAAGTATTCGGGAGTACAGTCGTCCTATAGTGGGGATGACAGCAATTCCTCTATAGTTTCTGACATTGTTTCGTGCTCCTTTTTTGTATATTGGGGTTATATAGGCCTCACGCCATTCTAACGGGGTCTCTTCTCCATTCAGGCATCGTTGGAACAGATCTTTGAGCATTTCCCACAGTTAAGCTGAGCCGTATTTAATAAATTCTGGTGAGATGTTTCCTGGGCCTGGCGCTTTTTTAAGTTTAAAAGATCTTATCGCTTCTATGATATTTGTCATGTTCAATTCAATGAATTCTGATCGTATGTCTCTGTTTGCATTTTCGTATTGAAAATTTTGTCGTCCTTCTTGTAGTAACTGTTTAAAGTAGTCTACCCAGTCTTTTTCTGT